TCATAAAACAACTTTTTTTCATTTTCTTAAGGATGTAGATCTAACAAATGACAATACTTTTATACATTATAAATAATATCTGTTTATCTCCATCAATTATGGGAGGAACAAAATACATAAGGAGACATGAAAAACAACATGATCAACGGTAATAAAAATACCATTCGCAGTGTATACATAAGAAATTTAATTGAGCAAAAGTCAATAACAAACAAATAAATTAGGTTACAGAAGAATAATAACCCAGGTGGTTACAACCAGGGTTGCTAAACAGATAAAAGCAAAAATTCTAATTTTTGTCTTTACAGTGACATGTATATTATTGAGAGACTTTTTGCTGGTAGAGTCTTATATATAGAAAAAAAAATAAGATGAAACTATTTAATCTATCAACGAGGAAATTTTCCTTCCTACGTGTTCATGTCTATGGGTTTCCGTATTTGCATCACTAAATCTGAGATCGATTTAGTGGTCTGCAAAACAGATAACCGGAAGCCCCGGACTCTCCTTTTGCAGTGTCTGAATCAGACAGAAACTTCAATCTCCGACATCATCGATCGCGTTCTGAGTGGATGGGACCGATAGAACACGCCGAGTTCTATGTTGCCAAAAGTTTCAGTGTTGGAATGATTTTATCAAACTCTAGATAACCCCCTGAGATTAAAAATGACAGATTACGTCGAGGAGCAAAGGAATGAACTTGAAGCCATAGAATCGATCTATCCCGACTCCTTTACAGGTGGGAGTTGATTAAAAATAGTAACTAGCTTACAGCTAGCATCGCAGTAAGCCTTATTTAATTTATCGGACTGGGTTGGAACTACTTTATTTTTGTTTGATAGTTGTGATGACTTCTGGTCAATGAAAGCTAATGAGACGGTAAATGCTCTGGCCTTTGGCCACGTCTTGCAGGGCTATTCACGTTCACATCCAGCACGCTCACAACGAGAAGCAACGGTTCGGTTTTTATAGCTAAAATAGACTAGTTTAAATCCGGGATAAACTTATAGAGACTTGTAGGGGTTTGGTTTTACGATGAAAAGCAGGAATATTTGTATAGTTTAAATGGACGAAAACTGTCTGAACAATAGTGCACTAGTGATCATGGTGTTCTAATGCAAGTTTGCAGAAATGATCTGTTATTCATGTGGGCTTGCAGTGCTGTCAGAAGAACCCACCAGTTTCACTATTACCGTTACGTCAGACGCAGGAGAAAACGGGGAAAGTGAGTATATTCAATTCATAAATGTGTTATATTCTGACATTTTCTTATTTTTGACACCTTCTTCTATAATGACTTTGATTTATCTGAGTTAATGTATGGTTTGAAGTTACCAAATAAAGATGGTTTCAATTAAGTGAGAATGAATTATTCTCATTTAACGTTCTTTTCTCATTCCAGCTGTTGAGGCAACTTTAAAGTTTACATATGTAGCAGAATACCCAGATGAGCCCCCACTGTGGGAGATCTACTCTCAAGAAAATCTGGAAGATGGCGACCTGGAGAACATTCTCACCCTGTTGAAGCAGCAGGTGTGTTCATTTATCTGAGAATAAATATTGTGTTTAATTTCTTCTGCTTTGTTCAATATTTTTGATTTTTTTTTCTGGGGAAAGTGTTCTCAGCAGACTTTAGGACACAGGTGTCAAACTCCAGTCCTGGAGGACCACTGCCCTGCAACTTTTAGATGTGCCTCTGCTGCACCACCTGAATAGAATAATTAGGTCATTAGCAGGCCTCCCCACAAGAAGGAGGTAAATAAGCCATTTTATTCCTGTGGCACATCTAAAAACTGCAGGACAGTGGCTCTTGAGGACTGGAGTTTGACACCCCTGCTTTAGGATATTTCCATACACTCAATATAAACTGACCAAAGAGCCATATTTAGTCTTGGCACAGCCTTGTGGAAGCCCATCACTCAAAGATTGATGGTTTTAGGAGCTGTTGAAGCATGCAGCAAAGTTTGATCAAAAAATCATTGAATTTGAACTGGAACACATATTGACACAAACATTTAATGAATTGAGTCCATGCAGTTATGGTCCTCTGTCATGCCACCAAGCCTCTCGCAAGATATGTTTTTTTTTCTTCCTTTAATGAAACAGTTGAGCTTTAATTTGTGCTGTGGCATCAAGCTGCAGCAGGCAGTGTGGAAATGTTCTGGTGGGCATCCCTCTTTACTGAGGCTCGTCAGTACTGCAATGATCACTGTGGTAAACTGCACCAAAGGGCCATATTTAGAGTCATACTGAACATGACAAAACTGCAGTTCACAACATTATATCATATTTAATTTTCTGATGCTAATTTGAATCCAATAAAAACATGTGGGGGGTTGCCCCATGGTTCCCACTTGCTCCATGGAGCAAGTTTCCAACCACCCCAATCAAAGCTCTTGCATAAAGCAGCTGCTCACTATTGATTCCTTGTTTTGACACTTGGAAATGTTTTGTTTGGGGCTTAATGGTCTTAAACTTTTGATCAGCTGCTCAATTGCCAGAGTTTAAAAGTTTAAAATTATATAATCTGCCTGGTGTATTTTTTGATGCTTTATAGAGCTCTGTAAAGGCAAAGGGAAGTGCCTCGGGCAGAGGGTGGGCTTTTTGGTCTTACAATAGTCCCACATTAACTGAAAAAATATTCATTACATTTTTCCAATTTTTATTTGCACTTAAAGGAGGGAACAGATCACCTGGAAAAGATTTCTGTTCCTTGCACAACCTGGCTCTAAATTGGTGGTGGCTCTTGTTCAAGGACCTAATGTAACTCTGTAAACTGAAGCTGCTTGTTTTATGCTGTTTATTTTCTATTATCAACACGTGTATGTAATAATCATGCAGGCTGAAGAAAACCTGGGTATGGTGATGATTTTCACCCTGGTAACAGCTGTTCAGGAGAAACTTAATGAAATTGTGGATGCAATGAAAAACAGACAAGAAGAGGAAAAACTCCGGAAAGAAAAGGAGGCAGAGGAAGCAGAAAAGGTAATTGGACGGCTGTCTGAATACTTGTTTGACTTTTGATTGGTTTGCCTCTTCTATTTCTGTAGAGGCTCAGGTGATATGCTCAGGTTGCCTTAGATTTGTTAAGGAGATGAAGGCAGTATGCGTGGACACGTACTCAGTGAAGGATGCTTGTGTTTGGCAGGTGAAGTTCCAGGGTACAGTGGTAACAATTGAAAACTTCCTGGCATGGAAAGCCAAGTTTGAGCTGGAGATGGCTGAGTTCAGACGAAAAAAACAGAAAGAGGAGGAGCAGGCAGGAAAACCCAGACTCACTGGTAAATCAGTTTCACTTTTATGTCAAAACCTTGGAAGCTGCTTGCAAAATAAAGTGTTATTTTTTCCTCTTTAGGCAAACAGCTGTTTGAGAGAGATCATAACCTTGACACATCAGACATTCAGTTCCTAGAAGAGGGTAAGTAAAGCTCTACAATAAACAGATCCTATTGTGAAATATTACATTTGGAAAACTCTTATTTTCTCAAACCAGAGGGATTTTTCTCATAATTTCAATCCGTTTCAAGTAATAACTCCAGCTAGATTAACTTAAATGTGTCTTGTGTTTGAAGCTGACTTGCCAGAGTAGCAGACTTGTTTTTACTACCTTCAGTTAGGAACCACTCATTGGAAACAAAACTACTGGGAGTTGGAGTTAGTTTATATTCTTCTATGATTCGATGATCTGACACAAGAGCCAACTCTTAACAGAGCAGCGTGTTTCTGGTTCTCTTTAAACAGTGCTGGCCAAGCATTACATTAATGTCCTTGTTTTTTTCTATATTCCAAACAATAACAATGTTTGTCTTTTCATTGTCACAGTTTAAGTTAAAATGTTTGGAATCACAGGGCCTGTGCTGGAATGCATCTTGAAGGGTGATTTGTTCACTACCCTTCTTCTAAAGCGGTCTTGTTTGTTCTTCTCAGCTGGAAACAACGTTGAAGTGGACGAGTCCCTGTTCCAGGACATTGAGGACTTGGACTTGGATGAAGACGATCCAAACTTTGACCCATTAGATATGGACAGCGATGAAGACTAAAGCTGGACAAAACAACAGACAGTTGAAAACCCCTAGCAGACCACTGCTTCACTCATAGTTCCACCCAATTATGGCATTTTTGAAGACTCTTGGAGAAAATAGGAAAAATCTCAGTTTACTACAACAGAAGACATTAAAAAAAAACGAATTGAAATTTCCAAAATAAATCTTGCTCTTCATTAAATACTGACCTTCGAAAAACTATGGTGAATAATATTTCAATTTCTAAACTCCAAGAGGAGAAGAGCTACAACCTCATACAAACATTTAATGATTTAATATCCATAACTCCTAGAAAACAGGAAGATTTTATTTTTGTCCTGATTCAGAAAAATTTGGAGATGGACACGTTACTAGATTTGACACCACAGAGAAAACCAAGTTCTCTGAACAGAACTGTTCAAACTTATTTAACATCATTAAACTGTTGAGTTTGTAGAAAACTGTAGAGTGAATCCAGTGGAATTACAGATCAATTGCAACATTACATTCTGAATAAATACATCAACTATGGCTCATCTTAAACTTCCATCTCCATTTTTGATGGTTATTTCAAATTTTGTGTAATTATTGTTGGTCATATTTTTCATTTTCCCTCATGAATATAAGGTACTTTTTTGACTGGGTCCTTTGCTAACCCTTTTTTAGTTATCCTTTTATATGACTTGTTACAGCTGTGAGATACGGTAGATTAAAAAGGTTTTAGCATCGTCTACAATTTGCTAGAAATACTTAAGGGGATCCCTGATAAGTTGTAACAATAGATTTTATTTGTGAAAGATTTGTTTTATATGTAAAAACAGTTTTTTTTTTATTACATCCAACAGTGACACACTGTGGCATTATCTGAAATTACACAAGTCAAATGTAATATGATAAACAACAACTCAGGTAAAGTTAGCCTTTAATCCGTACATTCCAGTACAGAACAGAGCCAACCGGGTCATCAACCCAGCATGCATTGCACAGGTGAAAAAATGTAATGGAAAAATATTACAGTAATAATAATAATAATAATAATCAATTAAATTTGTACCGCACTTTTCACTAGCAAAAATCTCAAAGTGCTACACAGTACAACTAAAATCATAGATAAAATCAGCATCATAAAAATCATGTAGAGGCAGAATAGGCTTGCTTAAATAGAAAAGTCTTTAAGCCTCTTTTAAAGTCAACCAGTGGTTGTGGAGCTCTCAAATGGTCCGGGAGAGAGTTCCAGAGACGGGGGGCAGCCACAGCGAATGCCCGATCTCCCATGGTCCTTAATCTGGATCGAGGAAGGTGGAGGAAGTTGCAGTCTTGTGATCGTAGAGATCTGGTGGATGAATATGGAATGAGAAGGTCTTTCAGATAATCCGGTGAGGTTCCGTTTAGACACTGATGGGTAATGAGAGCGATTTTGTACTGAATTCTGTAGGTGACAGGAAGCCAGTGAAGATCATGCAGAATAGATGTAATATGGTCAGATTTACGGGCTCTCAGTAGAATCCCTCCTGCGCTGTTTTGAATGTATTGAAGCTTCTGAAGATGTTTTCTATGGATTCCAACAAACAGAGAGTTGCAGTAGTCGAGCCTGGAGGAGACAAAGGTATGGACGAGAGTCTCGGCATCAGAGAAAGAGAGAGATGGACGAATTTTGGATATATTACGAAGATGAAAGAAATAGATTTTAACCAGATGCTTGATGTGATTTTCAAATGTAAGATGAGAATCCAGATGTAACAAATGATGAATTGTTACATATCACAAACAGCAATAGAAATCTGCAATATATTTAGGTCAACATTTTCAACTAATCTTGGATCCCTTTAAAATACATGCAAACAACCTGATTCCAAAAGGATTCAATATTTTGTATAGTTATGCACTCTTAATAGACAACTACCATAGACTCAAAACATGACATCATGAAAGTAAGACTGCAAAAAATAAAACTGTTTATTTAGAAAGTTTAAAATTGGACATAAATTTTGTAGTATATCAATTACAGTATTGTATATATAAAAAATCATTTGCATTCATGGAATCCTTTCAGGAGATAATGTTCTGGAGGTGAAGATTCTTATCTGTGAAAACAAAGCAAGCAGAAAAGAAGGCTGATTTATAGAGAACAAGTCCTTCTTACCCGGATCACTTCCTAAGTACTTTGAACTAAAATTGGTTAAAATTTAGTTTCCATGGCTCTGATTCTGTGTCGATATGTTGTGCTTTGTGTTTGAAAAACATCTCACCTGTTTCTCTTCAGGAGACAACACGCCTTGTACTGCTATGAGCTGGTACTGTTTGTGCTTTAGATTTCTGGGGAACTTCCTGACAAACTGAACGGCAGTCAGGCACGTCTCCCTGCTCAGCAGCTTTCTGGTGTCAGATGATGAAGAGCCAGGATCTAAAAGCAGGAGGGACAGGCTGCCATTCTTCCTCTGTTCCAAACCAACTACTGTTCGGCTGTGACCTAAAGGAGAGGCCATAGGGATTAAAATGTGCCACATGCAGGTATACTGTGATTTCTAAGCAACAATATGAACAGAGTATCCAGTATAACACATATTCAAGAGACATGCACATCACATCATACAAGATTGAAAGCCATGAAAAAAACTGAATGACCTCTGGGAACATTTGATGACTACACTGTACACACTGCATATAAGTTATAGTTTCTAGGGAGGATTAGACATGAAAATGGTAATGCAACCTACTAAGATATTTAGGTATATGCATATGTTCTGGGTAATCTAATATTAAGTCAAGTCCAGTAAATTCAAAGTGCTTTACATGATAAAAACACACCGTTTACAAAACAAAAGACATGCATTACAATACCAGAATAAAGATAAATAATGACAAGTTGTAATCCAGACAAGAATTAACCTGTTTTCCATTTATTAGTCAAAGGTAACTCTGAGCAAGTGGAACTTTGGCCTTGATCTAAAGGAACTCTGTGTTTCAGCTGTTTTGCAATTTTCTCAGTTTGTTCCAGATTAGAGGAGCTTAGAAGCTGAAATATTGCTTCGGCATGTTTGGTTCTCATTCTGGGAATGAAGAGTAGACTAGAACCAGAAGACCTTAGTGGCCTGGAAGGTTGATACAATAACAACAGGTCTGCTGGGCTGTTGAGTAATTTGCAATCTAAGTATTTTAAAGTTTATTCTCTGTTCTACAGGGAGCCAGTGGAAGCACTTTAGAACTGAGTGATGTGCTCTATCTTCTTGGTTTTAGTACAACATTACCAGCAGCGTTCTGGATCAGCTGCAGCTGGAGGATTGCTTTTTTTGGGCAGACCTGAGAAGATGATGTTGCAGTAATCAGTAAGTCCAAGATTAAACACATGGATGAGTTTCCCTAGATCTTGCTGAGACATCAGTCCTCTAATCCTGGAGATGTTCTTCAGGTGACAGAAGGCCGACTTTGTAACTGTCTTTATGTGGTTCTGAAGGTTCAGGTCAGAGTCCATCACTACACCCAGATTTCGGGTCTGATCTCTGGTTTCAAGCTAAAAACCGAAGATGTGTGTTGACTCTACATCGCTCCTCTTTAGGTACAAAGATACCCTCAGTTGTCTTTCTGTTCAGCTGGAGAACGTTAATCCACACATTTATCTGTTCTAAGCATCTGTTCAGTGCTTGGATGAGTTCGAAGTCACCTGGTGACATTTGCCTCTTTTCCACCGGCTCGGCTCGCTTTCCGAACGTTTCCCTCCACCGGCTTTTTTTTCGGGGCTGGCCCTGCTGCTGAAAGTAACTAAAAAAGTTACTTTTAATGTAATTTAGTTACTTTCCAAATCAAGTAATCAGTAATCTAACTAAGTTACTTTTTCAAGGAGTAATCAGTAATCTGATTAAAGTTACTTTTTCAAAGTAACTATGCCATCACTGTGTATGTACGTTCCACATCGGTAACTCTTATTTATCTACATTTATGTGCTATAAGTAATAACATCTGATTACTTTTCCCAGGGAACAGAAGAAGAGCAACATG